CTCTTCTGAAGTGAACATGTTCATAGCAGCTGTTGACAGTCATCCCAGGTGGGCTGATGAGTATAAAAGACAGATTCCAACAAAAATATTAAAGCCTGGGGTTGGTCTAAGAAGGATGGATTCTATTGTTTTCAATTATATAAATCACTAGTAGTGAAGGGGATGGTATTTCCATCTGGGGTAGGTTGGAAAGTTTGCTTCAGGGGTCTAATGGAAACAGGGGGAATTGGTTCAGGTGATGCAGGTTCCTGGGGTGGCTCAGCTTTCCTTGGGATGGCTTGGTAGGAATGTCTGCTTTGGGTGTGTGGCAGACTAAGCACATGATCTGGGTCTGGAAAAGGGACAGAGGTACCCAGATCATGATCTAGTCCAAGGCTATGGTCTGGGTCTTGGGGAAGAGCAGGAAAGTTAGGGTGAGGGAATTATGGGGGTTCCCACTCCTCAGGTTCCCCTTGAATAACTGGAACCCCCTGTTTCCTGTCCCCTTTACCCTTACCCTGACCTTCTGGGTGATGAGCCAGAAAAATAGACCCCTCCTTTTTTCTCTTTAAACAAAGTTTTTAATAATAAAATGGTTTCTCAGTATATATATATCAATCCAGACCTGGATATATGGAATTTGGTTTGGGTGACCTGGTTTTCCAAAGATAACCCACCATGCATGACAGGCTATCTGAAGGTCTCTAGTGCCCTCTGGTGGCCAGTTTACACCAAAGTTGGGCCAATCCAATTCACGGAGTTTCTTTAGATGGAAAGCTGTCACTGTATATCCATGTGAAAGTGCCTGCTTCTGGAAGTCCTTAAAATTGGTAAGAAGGCAAGATTAGGGGGTAGTACAAGGGAAAGAGAAGACTGGTCCATTGTTTACGAAATTCTTTCCCACCATAAGTGGCAGTCTATTGACCTATTAATACTTGGTCCTCTATTCAGATAGAAAGAAAAAGCTTTCTTAGCCAATGGTTCTAGCAACACTATGCTTGCTAAATCCTGCAGTGAGGCAACTTGTTTCCTCAAAGCAATATTATAGGTTTGAGGCAAATGGAAAGAAAGATCAGTGGGAGGAAGATAAAAGGGATAGATCCCTAGAATCATTGGGTAGAAAGAGATAATAGTGGGCTGGATATGATTTGAAGGAGGCATATCACGCTGGGAATTCTAGATAAGAATTTAGAAAAGTAAACACTCCCATTATTACATCCACGGGCGTAATTGTCACCCACAGTCTGTGTGGATGTAACGGGTATGCTTGGAAAGGTGACTGGATGACAGAAGGGATGAACTAACAGGTCAACAGGATGGAAATTCTGCACCCACCAAGGGAGTATTGTATGGCTAAAATCTATCCAATTATTTGTTTGGGGCTGATGACAGTCTATAGTAAATGTCAGACATATGAAATCCTACTAGTGGTACTCTGATCCTCCAGACTGGAGTGAGGCTGATGCTCATATAGTGGAGAGTAACAACAATGAATATTGGTCTGGCATAATAAGCAATTAACCAAGGGGTAGTTACGGTTAAAAAGGGCCTGAATATCTGAGGGCAGGATGCCTCCTGTTGTAGAAAATAAAGAAAGATCCAGAAAAAGAGAAGGCATTTAGATAAGAGCATGTATTAGGGCAAAGATGGTAATGACCACAAGATTGAGGAGCAACAGCATAAAGTCTGATAGAAAAGACTATTCCTGTAGCACCTACGGCTATCCAAAAACAATCTAAGGAGCTACGTTGAAGAATGGAGGCAAAGGAATCATAATAGTAAACAAATCAGGAAGAAAGTGAACAGACAGATTTCATCAGGGTCAAAATCAAGAAGGGTGCTCTGTAGGAACAAATCTGAGACCCC